ATCTAGAAGTTGTTTCTGGTTCCTCTTTTTCCCACATTCACTACATCTAATCAAATCAGCACATTTTCTGGGCACTTCTCAACACCTCCACTGCTCCCTCTGAGTCCAAACTACCATTGTCTGTCACCTGGATTCCTAACTGGTTTCCATGCTTCCACTGTTGTCCAACCCTTGCTGCCCATGGGCTCTGTCTCCAACTGGCCTGGTGGCAGTGAGGACTGCTGGTCCCCTTCCAGCCAACTGCCAGCTATGCCTCCATTCCATCTGGTTTTCAGGAGGTCTGGCTATCTTTGGATTCTGGGGTGGAGGTGGGGGTGATTCCTAAATCCAGAGGCTCTAGGGTTTCTCCCAACTGTGCGGTAGCCAGGAAAGACCTAGAATGGACCCAACTCTTCCCACTTTACCCCAAACCAGTCCATATGCCCTGAGGTTTCCTTCTCAGGCTAGTAACACAAATGGGCCTGAACTCCTTTAGAAGCTGGAATGAGTTTAGGGCTTTCCCTGTGGAGCCTGAAGATGAAAAACTGAACCACCCTTCTCATAACCAATTGCCTGTTCTGCTGTGATTGTCTCCTCTGGGATGTTGTGCTTAGTTCTGCAAGCCCTGGGGATTACAGAATGTGCCCGAGCGCCATGATATGTCCAGCAGGTTTTTGGGTATTGTCCCTGAGCAGTCTCAAAGCTATGAAAGAACATCCTCCCTCCCTCCCTCCCTCCCTCAACACCTACCACCCTCCTCCCTGCCATCTGCACCAATCCCTGCGGGGCCTTGTACTCAGTCCTGGAAGCTCTGATCACCCGGGATAGGACCGGCTTTGGGAGAAGCCATGTGATGTCCGAAGGCATTTCAGAGCGGCCCCTGAAGGGCCTACGGTCTCCCTGCCCACTGCCCAGCTGGTTCTGCAGGCCCGGGGTCCCTTCCTGGCTCTGATGGTGGTGGAACCGGCAGGAAAGTCATCTGTGTTTGAATGAACTGCCGTCATTCACTCCTAACCTGCTCCTTCCCCGCGGCCGTCTCCTCCAGCCACCGTTCCACTGGGTCTCCCGGCAGGTCAGCGCCCGTCCCCTTCCGTGGTCTCCCAGTCGTAGTCCTCCTCTCCGTCGGGTGGCGCCACCGCCGGGTCTGCGAGCAGGAGGGTCGGCCCCAGGCCGGCCTAGAGAGGGGTTTTTCGGCTCCGCACTTCCGGGAGGCCGCCCCCCAACCCGCACTTTTTGGTTTCCTGCCGTACTTCCTGCGGCTGGAGACCAGAAGCAGTGGGGAATCGAACTGTCACATTTGCCAACCCCGAACTGGTAACTACTTCGGAGTTTAGGGGACCGCCCACGAATTGGGTGCTCTTCTGGGTACCGGGACTAATGGGACACTCACGACTCCTTGCTCTCTTCTCCCCGTCGGCCGCCGCGGCCGCCGCCACATGCCAAAGGCCGTTTCTCGCCGCTGCAGGCTCTGGGGAAGATCTCTCACCAGGTTTGGGGGAAGGTTGCGAAGAGCGGGAAGCGAGCTAAGGTGGCAGTGTGCACGGGTGGCCACAGGGTGGAGCCAGCGGTCTGCTGCGAGACTCTTTCGGAGCACAAGTTCTCCGGGCGGTGCCACAAACCGCCTAGGTCTTTTGATCCAGGAACTGGTTGTAGCCATTAATTAAGCGTGGAGCTTAAAAGAGTGTATTCGTGACCGCGAAAAGCTGAATGCAGTAGAATCTAACCGTGCCAGTTAGGAACAGAGAAATGGTTGATGAGCATATTTGCAGCCAAGTAAAAATGTGATCACGGATTTACAGTATCCAGTACTTTTTTTAAGATTTTATTTATTTGACAGAGAGAGATCACAAGCAGGCAGAGAGGCAGGCAGAGAGAGAGAGAGAGGAGGAAGCAGGCTCCCCGCTGAGCAGAGAGCCCGCTGCGGGGCTCGATTCCAGGACCCTGAGATCATGACCCGAGCCGAAGGCAGCTGCTTAACCCACTGAGCACCCCCCCCTTTTTTTTTAATTAACGAAAAATTATTCTAAATTGCTCAAGAAAGTTAAGAACACCAACTTACTTTCTGTACATTCCTTTTACTTGGAGGTGTAGTGTTGATCTGTTAGAGGTAAAAATTTCATCTCTCTTTTTGAAATCAGGCAGAATACGCAACTGAGAAGCACTGAATCATGAGTGAATGCGTTGTCAACTCCTTCCTTCCCTTAGAATACTGAAAATGCAGGGAGACTGCTCTTGGAAACCAGTTAATTCCTAGCATGCTTTTTATAGATCTTAAATACTCCATGTTAGCATTTATGCTTTTACAGTATTTCCAGCTTCTTGCCTTATGCTTTCTTTAGGATTTTACATCCTCTTCGTGGTTGAATGGAGCTAGATAACTAGGTCTGACCAGTAAGGTGGAAGTGTTGTGTGTCCCTTCTGGGCTGGAGAATTTAATTCCTAGTTTGGGATGCTCCATGCTCTCTCTCAGCTCTGACACAACTGCTGGCAGTGTTCCCCAAAGTGCCACCTTAACAGCCTTCTCATTTGCCTCTGGTGTAACATGAATGAATGATAAACCTCTCTTGGTTTAAGGGGCTGAGATTAAGGAGTTGCTTGTTACCTTAACAAACCCTGGCCTCTTCTTACACAGCCTAATTCACAGATGAATGGGTCAGGTGTAGAGCTGTGCATAAGTTTGTTGCCTAGATAAGATGCGGTTATTAGTATTTCTTAACACTCTTTGCATTGTTCTCAGGACTCTCCCTCAAGAGCCAGGCTGTTTTTGTTGTTGTGGGTTGGTTTTTGTTTTTGTTTTTTTAATAATAATAAGACAGAAGGTCTTTAAACAAAAATTGTCATAAATTCTGCTTTACCTGTCTTTACAATATACCAGGATTCAGAACATCTCAGCATGGGCCAGAATATTTATTTCTAATTCCTAGCGTTGCCCTTAATGCCCATAAACATGAGACACAAAAACTTACCTGTTTTGTTTCTGGTACACAGAAATTTTTTTATCCTCGGGGCAATAAATCATGATTAGTATGAGTAAAAGGTAGGCCTTTCTTTTGCAGCCTGGGTGAAGGGTGAGTGGGAAAGAGTAGGTAGAAAAGCAGAACTGGCTTCAAACATTTACAGTGATTGTGTTCTGAGGCACACAGTATAGTGTTCTCTTTTAAAAATATGGACGTCTTGGGACACCTGGGTGGCTCAGTTGGTTAAGCAGCTGCCTCCGGCTCAGGTCATGATCCCAGCATCCTGGGATCGAGTCCCACATCGGGCTCCTTGCTTGGCAGGGAGCCTGCTTCTCCCTCTGCCTCTGCCTGCCATTCTGTCTGCCTGTGCTCACTCTCTCTCCCTCTCTCTCTCTGATAAATAAATAAAAATCTAAAAAAAAAAAAATATGGATGTCTTTAGAAGTGTTATTGGGACAAATGGGTTTTATAAGACTCCAAAGACTTTATAAAATTTGCAGTGGCGTACAAAGCACTCAGACTGAACCCTGGGAGATGTTGGATATAGTTTGAGGTGCAAGATGTTTATTAAGGATGAACCCCTATAAAAGGAAGAATGAAGAGGTAAGAGTGGGCAGTGGAAGAAATCAAGAGTGCAACAAAAGCTTGCTAGAGCCTTGACCATACCGCTGAGGAGCTCTGGAGCAAATACTGCTCGCAAGCATGGCCTGCTTTGGGCTGAAATGTCCTGTTCCGTTCAGGCAAGACATGCTGGATACTCTGGGAAAGATAGGACTTTGGGAGAGCTGTGGGGGGTCTCAGCAGACAACAGTTTGCCTTCTGCTGGGTTTTGCAATTCTTTCCCTTCTCTCCCTTTGGGCCACTTGCTCCCCACTTGGATCCAGGCATTTCTGTGTGTGTGTGTTTCCAGTACAGGATGGAATGAAAATAGTGAGCTCTTAGATAGGTAGGGACAAGTGTCAGGGACAGGGAACCCAACCACTGTAGGGAAACTGGAGGGCTGGGCACCCACCTGGACAAAATATGAGGTGGTACCAGGCATTGACCCAACCGAGCACCAAGGCTGGGAGAACCAGCAGGTAGGCATCAATTTGGGGGACTCCCAAGAACCTATTCCTGTCACAGCTACAGGCCAGAAGTAACGGTAGACTGAAGTGCAAATTGTTCAAACGTTAGAGTAGGCAGTTAGGTTCTAACAGGATACATGGAGGCCAGCAAAGAGGAAGTCATGGCTAGGACTGTGAATGTCAGACGCCTGTCCCCACAGAGCCCGATGTGGGGCTCGATTTGAGGGCCCTGAGATCATGACCTGAGCTGAAATTAATCAACTGAGCCCTGAGACCAGTATTATCTTGAAGTTAGTAATCATCCAGAAAATCAGAAGGGCAGAGTAAATCTCTGGAGGTAAGAGCTGGGGCTTCATGACATCACTACCCCTCCCCAGCTGAAGCTGCCCCTTGCCCCTCCCTGCTGGGAGGTCTGGGTATAATTTATTAAGGAAAGCCTCGGTTACATGATCTTCCTGTGGGGTGGGGGAGTAGGATAGGCAAGCAGGACTCCTGGTATCTCTGGACACTGAGATGTTATGAGAAAGCCTCATACGAAAGGGCAGAAGTCATGCCCCCATCTGCCCTATTGCGTATCTGCCGTGTTCTCTGTAAGCTGTGTGGATCTTCCCCTGCTTGTGTGCTGGAGAGAGAAGACACCAGATAACTGCGAGGACTCCAGGGATGGGTCAGCGCTCCACCCACAGTCTCTGAGGAGCCGTCTGCAAGTTTCCTTTCCTTCTTTTGGGTCTGCGTGCTTTTCTCATCTCCCTGATCCATTCTCTCTTTATCTGCCTCCTTGTAACCCTCATTCTGTCTCTTTCTCTTGTCTTAATCTCTTGTACATAGGCACACACTTACCTTTTCACCCTGTCCCTAAAAATAATAATATTGTTCAAACTACCTAGTAGGATAATCAGGTTAGACTGGACTTTCAAGTTATTAAAGATTTCTTTAGAGTAGGTCTCACTTCAAATCATCCCTGATGACCCATTTTCCAAGCTTATCTCCACTTAAGTCAGCTCATTTGTTTGTTTTATTTCAGAGTTAATCAGATGTCATGGGAGTCACAGTTTTAATGTCTTTAAACTTTGGGATGTTTGCACCCCAGTGCTTGCACAGAGAAGAAGGGGAGGGACTGTCTGGGTCCGTGGGCACCAGCTGGGCCACTGCTATGGCCCTCCTTCCAGGGGCTTCTGGTATGTCCTTTCTTGCAGTGCTCTTGTTCATGACATTATGGCTCTTCTAAATAGCTCTCTTCTTGAAGGTAGGAGTTTACTCTTTTCTTTTGACCGGAGTCCAAAGAGACTTCTAAATTGCACTTTTTCTTTCTTTCCAGTTCCTTATATATAATCATACAGAAAATGGTGTCCACCAAAAACAGTATTCCCACTGGCAGATAGAAAAGAACGTGAAACCAAATAGGAGGTTGTGTCTGGAGGCCTGAAAAAGTGACAAGGGGAAGAAATGCTAGTTAGAATGCAAAGCGATCTGGCTGAGTTATGTCTGGGAAGGAAGGCTGGCTGACACCTGGTATGCCTGTCCCCAGCAGAGACACAGGTAATTTCAGGGGGCAGGAAGGTGCTGCACCTGGGCTATGGGTGTACAGTCCAGGGGCAAGCTCCTCATACGAGCTTAACTGCCAGAGCCCTCAGTGGACTTACTTCCTAGTTTTGGACATAAAGTCTATTTCTCTGCCATTTAATACTTGAAATGAATTTGGGTTGAAGATAAATTTTTCCCAAAGAGTCTTTTAGAGTGTTTTAGAGCTTAGTCTCCCTACCTCAGCCAGACAGACACTTGGGCAAGTATTTATGTGCAATCCACAAACTCCCTACCTCACCAGTCTACCATGTGAGCTCCTTGAAATAAGAACTGTACCCCCAGTGTCTTCATATCCCCACACCAATGACAATACACAAGAAGAACTCAATATATTGATTAGATTTGGGGGGTGGGGGGAAAGTGAGGGGGAAAGAAAGAGGAGAGAAAATAGGAAATGAAGAAGGAAGGAAATAAAGGGGGAAAGGAAAGGGAATTTAATGAAGTTCATGAGAATAGTGAAGGTACGAATCAAGAGTGGAAAGGCCTGTTTATGGGTTTTTCCTGGCTGGGCGATGAAATCCCCTTAAACAGACCTCAGCCCTGAAGGAAAAAAGGGAGCATCTTCTCCATGTGCCTCCTCCTGTCAGTTCCCTTCATTCTCACCAAGCACCTGAAGCTCCAACTCGGGGCTGCGCTTGACCATGCTGCCATCTTCCGTGGTAGCCTCACACCAGTATAAGCCCGAATCTTCTCTCGTAGCACTTAGTATCTGGTATTCAGAGGCTGTGTTCCTGCTCAGTAGGGTCTTGCTGCCCATGTAGAAGGAGAAGTAAAGCTGCAAACCAGGTCTCTGTAGGAGCAACTTTGTTTCACAGCTCAGGTTGACCAGATGCCCCTCCAGGATGGGTGATGACAAAGATACTTTTAGCACTGGGGCTGGAAATAGCTCTAAAGAAAACGTTGATGGGGACAGGGTTGCCTGCTTCAGTGTTAAGGTTTTGTTGTTGTTATTGTTGTTTTTTAACAAGAGATATACCCCCTACCTCCTTGGGAAACCTGCCCCTAGAGAATGCATCCATAAGACAACTTTTCCCACTTCTAGCAGAGAGGCCTTCCACATAGAAACTCTTATAATGGCCAGCTTCCTCATTTCCTGCTGTGGCCCTCCACACTGTCCAGGCTTCCCTGAATAACCATATTATTATGTGACCGTGCCTTTTGGTAGTGGTCCACCAGGAGTGGACACTGATCCATACACTAGCCAGGTCACTGACTGATTATTTGTGTTACTACCTCAAAAGATAATCTGGGACAATCCTCTCTTTCCCATTAGGAATGATGAATTCTTTTTCAGACAAAAAAAATGGCTTGTAGTTAATGAGTACTAAGATGAAAGAACCACAGTCAGGACCACATGCAAGCTGGAACAGAGGAAGCTGCTTTAGTTAGCAGACGTTCAGAAAGAAGTAGAACTAGAGAGGCCACATTGCCTCTGAGAGAAAGTATAACCAAGTCCTAATGTCCTCATGGCTTCTGTTTCTAGGGAGCTTTTTATGAGATTCCATTGAGTTCTTTTCTTACTTTTTTTTTTTTTTTTTAAGATTTATTTGACAGAGAGAGAGATCACAAGTAGGTAGAGAGGGGGAAACAGGCTCCCTGCTGAGCAGAGAGCCCAATGCGGGGCTCAATCCCAGGACTCTGAGATCATGACCTGAGCTAAAGGCAGAGGCTTAACCCACTGAGCCACTCAGGCACCCCCCATTAAGTTCTTTTCTAATAACTCTCCTACCTCCCATGAGTGAATCTCTATTCCTTGCAACTAAAATAAAATTGATGAAATAGATCCTCACTATGCCCTGGCCTTCATGTTAGCTCCTGGGTTTATTGGAAAGAGCAAGAGACTGAGGCCCAGATAACCTCAGTTCCAGTCCCAAGCTAGCCACTGGTCATTTCATGGCCTTCCATGAAACGACGACTTCCCCGGGAACTTAAGTCTCTTCACTTGCAAACTTAAGTGATGATTTATGATGGTCCTTAAAACTACAGCTTTATGACTATTCAGATACATACCTTTTACAGTGATATATACTCCTGCTGATTCAAAGCGTTGCTTTCCCATGGCTGAGCAGTGATAGATGCCATTGTGACTCAGGTTGGTTTTCAGAATGGTGAATTCAGAATTCCCAGTAGAAAATTTAAAGACCTTGCCATTTTGGTAGAAAAGCACATTGTATATGGTCTTATTCTTCCATCCATGACACCTCAAGGTCAGAGGTTCCCCTTCCGTGACAACTCTGCTAGAGACCTGGAGTAGTAGCCAATCTGGAAATTGTAGACCCAAAATGTATCTATACAGTAGCAGAGGTACAAGGAGGCTAGAACTGGGCCCTGGGGGGGGGGGGGTTCTTATCTTTTTTTTTCTTTACAACATTCCAACCTCAGAGCTCTGCTGAGTTTGAGGCCTGTTGCCCATCCCTCAATTATCTTTAGCTCTACTGGGAAGAAAAGTAGTCTTTACTACTTCTATTTTTTTTTAATTTTTTTTATTTTTTTTACTTTTACTGCTTTACTGCACACAGCCCCTTCTTATCTTCGGTTTCTGATTTCAGAAGTTGGTTGGGATAAAAACAATTTACTGTATGTGGTAGGCAGTACTCTAAGATGACATCCCCCACCCTCGTGAATCACACCCTTGCATAATCCCCGTGGGTGTGGAACCAGAGACTTGCTTCTAATCAACAGGATATGACAAAGGGTATGGGATGTCTCTGTCATGATGATGTTGCATTATATGACTCTGTTTTAGCTGACTGGCCTGAGAGCCTCCCACTGGTCTTGAAGAAGTGAGCTACTCTGCTGGGAGAGGGCCAAATGGCAGGGGCCTGCCTCCAAGAGTCAAGACTGGCCTCCAGCTGACAACCAGCAAAAAGTCTGGAACCTCAGGCCAACTACATAAGGAAGTGAATTCTCAAGTCTACCAATGACCACGTGCGCTTGGAAGAACTATAGGAAGGAACGTGTCATACCCTGATTGCGGCCCCTGCGGAGCACCCGGTGAAGCTGTGCAGAGACTCCTGGCAGATAACAAATGTTGTTTTAAGCTGCTGTGTTTGTGGTAATTTGTTACACAGCAATAAAAGAAATGAATACACTCCAACTCTTAAGTTGTTAATGGGATCCCACATACTAAAACAAACACATAGAATAGCAAACATGTCCAGATGATATATACTTCTAAAGTGACAGGATACACATATGTGCAGATCTGTCATCTAGTTGGTAAAAATGAGCTCCAAGTCCAAGGGGCCCTCCCTTTAGATGTACACCTCTACACAGAACTAAAAATACTTCCTTTTTCTTTCCCTGGGGCAGTGGGTTTGGCTAAATGAGGACCAGTATCTTAAATGACAAAAGAAGAGAATGGACAGTAGTGCTTTTTCCCCCTCCAGAACTTACCTAAGAATGGAAGGCTAGATGTATTCCAGTGCTAGATGGAGCATGATTTTTATAGTTTCGGATGCTGCCGTAGTGTTTCTAAATATAATGAATACTCTTTTCTCCCTTATTTCCATTTGCAACCAAGAGGTGCTCTACCTAGAGACTACACTACCCAAACACAGACACCTTTGCTTTATACATCTACAAACACAGTGGTAGATTTTAACACCCCTCCATCTGAAACGGTCAAAAATACTAGTGATGATATATGAAATATTTGAATGGCACAATTAATAGAGTTGGTTTTGTGGATTAATATAGGATGCTTAGCTTAGAGAAGATTCATACTTTCCCAACATAAATGCAACAGTTACAAATAGTACATACTAGGCCACAAGCAATTTTCAACAAATACTAAAAAACTGTTATCATATTTAACAAATTCTTACCAAAATGCCATAAAATTAGAAATCAGTAACAAAAGGCCACCTTCCTAAAACACTTCTAAATAATTCACGAGGAAAGAAAAATACATACATACTAATGAAAATTAAAAATATTTAGCCTTAAGTGGTAGTGGGAGTATTATACATCAAAATTCATAGGATGCAGCTTTTAGCAGACATTACTGATTTCCTACTCAAAAGCCATTCTCCACCTTCATCACCTTAGAGCAGGAGGGGAGTGCTCATTAAGCCATATGATTAAGACTTAGGTCCTCAAGCCAGCTGTGTTTTTGTGGTCTCAGCACACACACACTTAATAGAAGTAACAGAGAGCTACTGTAACTGCAGTTGAATCCTCCACTGCTGGTTAACAATGGCAAAACTTTTTTTTTTTTTTTTTTTTTTTAAGATTTTACTTATTTGACAGCACAAGCACAAGCAAGGGAGTGGCAAGCAGAGGGAGAGGGAGAAACAGGCTCCTCCAGTGAACAGAGAGCCTGACTTGGGGCTCAATTCCAGGACCTGGGGAGCATGACCTGAGCTAAAGGCAGACATTTAAATAACTGAGTCACCCAGGCGCCCCTATGGCAAAACATTTTTAACTAAGGGCATAGAGAGCACCAACCCAAAAACCTGATGTATTATACTACTGTAAATGTAAGCACTTCTTTCACTGAAAAAAGAAAACAGCATAGATAGCAAAAAGACAGGCCACAGAGTGGAAGATATTTGCAACACTTAAAAAAGGACTAATTTCTGAAATATAGAGCCCCTACAAGTCCATAAGTAAAGACAATAAAGAAAAACTGGCAAAAAATCTAGACAGGTACTTTACAAAAGAGGATATCCAAATAGGTAAGAAGTCTGTAAAATTCTTAATGTCAGGAGTCTTCAGGAAAATGTAAATTAAAGCTATGTGATAACTATTGCACATGCACCAAAATGGCTAAACTAAAAAATACGGAAACTAGTGGTTTGTATGACAGTCTATAACTGTTAAAAAACTGTATGACAGTCTATAACTGGTTAAAAAAATAAATAAACCCACCGAGTGTTGATGAGGATGAAAAGGAACCAGAACTCTCAAACTCCACTGGTGGGAGTGTAATATGGAATAACTGCACTTTGAAGAACTAAAGCTGAACAAATATATGCACATTTTGTGACCCAGCAATTCCACTCCTAGGCATATTCCAGCACATAATCTATACATATGTACAGCAAAAAACCTGTATAAAAATGTCCACAGTGAATACATTATATGTTTATAAAAATTTAAAAAAGAAAATGTCCACAGGGACGCCTGGGTGGCTCAGTTGGTTAAGCAGCTGCCTTCGGCTCAGGTCATGATCCCCGTGTCCTGGGATCGAGTCCCACACATCGGGCTCCTTGCTCAGCAGGGAGCCTGCTTCTCCCTCTGCCTCGGCCTGCCACTCTGTCTGCCTGTGCTCACTCTCTCTGACAAATAAAATATTTAAAAAAAAAAAATGTCCACAGTGGGGGCACCTGACTGGCTCCGCTGGTATAGTGTGTGACTCTTGATCCTGGGGTTGTGAGTTCAAGCCCCATGTTGGGTATAGAGATTACTCAAAATAAAATCTTTTAAAAAAAAAAAAGTTCACAGTGGTACTATTTATAAGAGGGCCCAGATAGACGGGCCCCTGGGTGGCTCAGTTAGTTAAGCATCTGACTCTTGATTTTGGCTCAGGTTGTGATCTCACTGTCCTGAGATGGAACCCCACGACAGCGTGGAGTCTGCTTGAGATTCTCTCTCCCTCATGTTCTCCCCTCTCTCTCAAATAATCATTTTTTTTTAATATAAAATATATTCTCAATACATCATCATGCTGGGGCTTCTAGAGTCTGTGCAGAAGTAAAGAAAATGGCCTCTTCCCATCCCTGCTTCATTTTTTGTTACTTGAACCATGGAACACTTTGCTTCTGCTTGAACTACACAAAATTCTTTTTTTTTTTTTTTTTTTAATATTACTTGACAGAGAGAGGTCACAAGTAGGCAGGGAAGACAGAGAGAGAGGAGGAAGCAGGCTCCCCAATGAGCAGAGAGCCTGATGTGGGGCTTGATCCCAGGACCCTGGGACTATGACCTGAGCCAAAGGCAGAGGCTTAACCCACTGATCCACCCAGGTGCCCCAAACTACACAAAATTCTTAAAACAGTTCTGTCTGGGGTGGGGGGCGGGCAGTCAAGCCTCTGCCTTCAGCTCAAGTCAAGATCCTGGGGTCCTGATACTGCTCTGGGGTCTGAGCTCACTGCTCAATGGGGAGGCTCCTTCTTGGTCTCCCTCTGTTCATGCCTGCATATTCTCCCTCTCTCAAATAAATAAACTAAAAAAAAAAAAACAAAAAAAAACAAAAAAAACCAAAACAGTTCTGACAGCTCCCCTTACATCTGTAGCCTAGCATCTGATTCCCAGATATCTAAGAGACTCATGAGGAACACCTAGCATTTCCTCTGATAGTCTCAATATTTCCTTGGCTAAAACACATTACCTCCAAAAGCAATCTAGTCCTTACAAATATAATTCTGCCTCCAGCATGGATTAACTTTTACATGATCAATTACAATGAAGCTTTAACTTACTGCTTTTGAATAAAGAGCACATTTGAGTGATTTGTACTGAATAATGGAACATTTTACCCTAAAAAGTACTGCAGTTTCCATTTCTTGACAAATAGAAACCTTTTACAGATTTAAGTGGATAGTGGGGTTTTTTTCCCCCTTGTATTCATCAGTTTAAAATGCATCATCTCACAGTAATTTCATGTCCAGATTATTATCTTACAGATATATTATGAAATGTGCCCCAGACTATACATAGAAATGTCTATTGCAGCATTGCTTGTAAACACAAAAAACTGGAAATACACTTCAAGTTTACTAATAGGGAAAATGATTTAATCAGTTAAAGCACAGCCATAAGGCAGACATTTGAAAGTGCACGATAGATGTCTATTGATTTAAACAGACCTTCAAAGTATTTTAAGTGATAAAAGCAAGGTATAGAACAGTATACAGAGTATTCTACCAACCACTTTTTCAAAAAGCTCATATATGTATTAGGAGTTTTACTTCTATGGCAGGTGACCGTGGGACTAGGGCTTTGGGGTGGAAGAGAGATGTCATTGTTCATCACTGTATGCTTCTCTGAATTATTTACTATGTGCAGGCATAAATTTTTTCAACGAAATTAGATCATTTTAATTTTTTAAAAAAGATCTTATATCGGGGTGCCTGGGTGGCTCAGTGGGTTAAAGCCTCTGCCTTCAGGTCAGATCATGATCCCAGGGTCCTGGGATCGAGCCCCGCATTGGGCTTTCTGCTCCGCAGGGTGCCTGCTTCCTCCTCTCTCTCTCTGCCTCTCTGCCTACTTGTGATCTCTGTCAAATAAATAAATAAAATCTTTAAAAAATAAAAAAATAAAAAAGATCTTATTTATTTAAGAGAGAGCATGAGCAGGCAGAGGGAGAGGGAGAAGCAGGCTCCCCACTGAGCAGGGAGCCTGATGCCTGGCTCGATTCTAGGACCCTGAGATCATGACCTGAGCTAAAGGCAGATGCTTACCCAACTAAGCCACCCAGGTACCCCAAAATTAGATCATTTTAAATAATAAAATCTTGGGTCTGAGTTTTATACTGGATAACCTGTTCACAGCTGTCCCAGTTGGGGTGCCTGGGGCAGTTAAAGGGGCAGTGTTGGGGCAGTTAAAGGACCCTAATGTGATATCCTGAGTATCTTGACTTAATTTCATCTAGTAAGCACATAGAGCTGAGACTCATACTCCAATAAATGAAAACACATATCTGGCATGCAAAAAGGAGAAAACACAAGGAACACCTTGTGATTTCCAACTCTCATGCTCCATGCCATACTTACCCCTGTGCACTTCCAGCTGTACTGGGTCACTTGGCACTGAGAGACCTGTCTGGCACCTGTATTCACCATTGTCATTGACACTGGCAGCAGCAATTCTGTGTTTGGGGGTCAAGGTGTGAATGGCTGTGCCATTGAGAGACCACTGTGTAGAGGTGTCCCCAGGTAAACGGGGTCCCTCACACCATAAGTTTACATTTTCCTCTTGGAACACACTGACCCATGGAGGTTGCAAGGTGATCACTGCCTTTGAGGGGTCTGGGGATTTAAAAAAAAAAAAAAAAAAAAAAAAAAGACCAAATGGAATAAAAGGAGGGTCTGAGCAATTGGTAAAGTTTTCTGGGTAGCACAAAGGTAAAAATATATATTTAGATGAGACAGAAAAGTAAGCAAATGGGAACCTACAAAAACTAGATACTGAGAGTATCCAGACTCTGTGCAGAGAGCTCTGTTCATGTTATCAAATCAACATCAGGACGTTGGGGCTTAGGGGTTCCTAAAAAACAAATGACTAATTTAGTTTTCACTGTTGGTAAACAAAGAAGCAGGGTTTTAAACCAAGGAAAGTCGACTGGAGCCAGTTGTCTTGCCCCCTGTGCAATATTTTCCCTAAGGGTTAAACTCAGGCCTTAATTAGCATTTGCACTGGAAACCAATACTCAAACTCTCACTTTGAAACCTTCAGTACTGCTTGGTTCTGTCTGAGGAGAAAAAAAGTACTTGGCTTTCTTCTCAAGAGGACTGGTTCAAGGAATGTTACAAAACCCCCCAGAGCTACATCTATGGTTTTGTAACTCTGGCTTTTTCCCGCTATTATATACACGTAGGCATTTAGTTCTGGGGCTTTTTCAGGAAATCTTAGAGAGAAACCTTAAAAACCAGGATTTTATCAAAATCATGCTCTGAATATAGGGGACTTTAAATCATTTCTAAATCCTTCTAGTTCTATCCTCTCCCCATACTCTCTTCTTCAGGATAACAAAACTCACCCTTTAGAACAGGAACATGGCAGAGGAAGAGAAACTAAGTTAAAGATTACTCACCCATTTGCGCACCAGCTGGCACTGTAAGAGACCGAAGAACAGAGGCATAAGTAGGTCAGTGGCAGATGACAAGGAAAGGAATCGAGAAGACAAAACTAATGTGGACATAGAGGGACCAGCTTAGGTCTCTTGAATCTCTCTCTACCCTCTCTCCAAATCAGGTACTAGTGGTATGTACAGTCTATAGATGGTTATTGATAAGGCTTTATTTTGATACGATGCTTCCAGGCTAAATTTTACTACCAAGTCTCTCTTCCCATGCTTTTGGTATAATGAGCATGAATAAACCATGGAAGCACAGATCCAGTTGTCCCCATATTCATGAGTTCTTAGCCTAGGATACCAAAGGAAGACAAAAGGTCTTGAGTCCCCATTACCAGAGCCAGTTCCCCTCTAGCTACCCCTTCTAAGCCCAACTTACCCCAAAGGAGCAGAGCTGTCAAGAGCCACATGTTACCTCCAAGCTGATGGGAGTAGTGAAGTCTGAAACGTGCAAGATATTGAAGAGTTTTCTGCTGGAGGCTCTGAAGTTGAAATTAGAAAAGAGGAAGGAAATTGCCTCTTCCAGCCACTACCATCATGCTCCTTTTTTGTGAAATACATCCTTAATTCTTGCATTCTCTCCCCATTCTCTAACTACTTAGCCTCTCTTCCCCAGTTTGAAACTCTGGGTTTGAGGCTTATGAAACTCTCAGAATTCAAGGGAAAGACTAAAGTTTTAATTGATATTCTAACTGTATTTTCCCTTTACTAATTCTGTTTCTTGGGGCTAAAATATGGCAAATCCTCGTTTCTAAAAGTGGTTCAAAGCCTGGCCAATGCCTCTAAAACTTTATCATTTGAATCCAGATTATTCTATATCAACCTCTACATGATATGGGAGGAACAACTCATTTATAAGAGTTCCTCTACTACAATGAGACCTCTATTCCTCTGGGAATGCATACAGGATCAATGTCCCATTTTGGTTTGTTTTTTTTAAAAGCCACCTCCCTGGAAGATATGAATTTGAAGTGTTTGCCTTGGCTACATCTAAGGAAATTAACTGTTCAAAGTAAATGCTATAGAGAAGAAAAATGACTTATATGTGAGTGGAAATATCCCTAAGATGGGCTGTCTCTTCATGGACATGCCAGATATTTCTAATGTTTTACTGTTACAACCAGCACTGCAAGTCTTGTACTTAAAAGATTTAAGCACTCAACTTACTATCTCCATAGGACACATTCCTAGAACGAATGTTGCTCAGTCTAAGGAAAGGTATGTTTTTTCCTTCAGATAAATGTTGTCAGATTGTCTGTTATCATTATCATCATCATTGCATATATTTGTAGATTGCTTATTATATGCCAAGCAAATATGCTTGGTATGTCTCTTTTCATTTAACCCTCATAATAAACTATGAGTAGACAGATACTCTTGTTGTCTCCATTTTGTAAATGAGGAAAATAGACAAAGTATGAAAGGAATTTAGTAATTTGCCCAAGGTTGTAAAAGGTAGAAGCCAGGTTTAAACATGCAGTATGATTTCCTTCACTTTCTCACCAAGAGAGTGTAACATTACCCAGCCCATCCCTCACAATTCCTTTGTAGGAAAATAGCTGCTTCTTTGAAAAATGAGTGAATGATCAGGAAACATGGGGAAATGAATATTGTTGTGGAAGAGGAGTGAAAGACATTCATGATCTGGAAGGATGAAATACTTTTTTTTCTAACAAGTATCTGTAGTTTCTAAATGGAGCAAACAGGGGTGCCTGGGTGGCTCAGTGGGTTAAAGCCTCTGCATTCGGCTCAGGTCATGATCCCAGGGTCCTGGGATCGAGCCCCCGCATCGAGCCCCCGCATCGAGCCCCCGCATCGAGCCCCCGCATCGAGCCCCCGCATCGAGCCCCTGCATCGAGCCCCCGCATCGAGCCCCCGCATCGAGCCCCTGCATCGGGCTCTCTGCTCAGCAGGGAGCCTGCTTCCCTTCCTCTCTCTCTGCCTGCCTCTCTGCCTACTTGTGATCTCTGTCTGTCAAATAAATAAAATCTAAAAAAATAAAAAATAAAAAAAATAAATGGAGCAAACACTATTAACTAAGGCAGATAGACAAATCTCCAGTATTTAATGATCAATGAAAATCATGATGCCCAGAAGAGCCATAGGAGAATTTACATCTATATATGACAGTTATATTTCCATATACTGATTTTTTATAAGATCATCATATTCATAAGCTTCATACTTTAAAAATCACCTCACAAATACACTTTTCTCAAAGGGAGATGCAAAGTCTTATTTGCCTATTTTAACTAAAATTTTTCTCTTCTTTACTACAGAAAACAATTTGTGAACAATTATTTTGTATATTTTTTATGGTAAAATAATTTAAATCTCATACAGAATTGACCAAAAATTTATTTTTACACTCTTTACAAGTAAAAAGCAGTCAGTAATACTTTATTCTCTACTTAAGTCCTCCTTTAACAACCATATTTTTAGGAATTATTGAAACCTATCAACAAAGTTTTAAGTACTTGTATATAATTGTCTACAGCACAATTTTGCTTAATATGTTTTGTATACTATTGTATATCTCTTGAATAGCTGTAATAATACTACCTTTATATATTCACTAATGCTGAAAGTGTTTTTCAAGAGATTCAGTAAACTTTATCTAATGTTTTTCTTCAACAGCCATTCATTATGAAAAGTTCCTGATTGGTTCAATTTCAAGTTTCCATTAGAAATTCAATGAGTTTTTTATCCTTAGTTATTCTTACTACTTGATCTATCAAATCTTTCTCTGCTTCACGTATCCTCAAATGATTTCATCAACTTAAAAAATTAATTTTCCTCCATGACTAGATGACATATGTCATCTAGCCTTTATGGTTAATTTCTGGTGGTATTATAATTTGTATTTTACAGGTTGTCTCAGTCTGGAATGACCTTGTCCATTTCCTCTTTCTCTAACCCCACTTTTTTTTTTGTCATCATGAATACATTCATCAAGTCCTTTGTCTAATTTTCCTATATACCCTTGAGATTCTTTCCTAAGCTTTTCAGTGATTAAATCAGTGGCTTTACCAAAAGCTCATTGTCATGGAATTCTATGCATAGGATATTTTCTATAGAAATTCTATTTTATCACTTTTTCCTTAAAACTATTCTAACTTACAGCTAATCTAAGATGCTGTCTGCATACTATCAATCCTTTCAACATTCCATTGCAAGAGAAAGGACCCCTTTTATGACAACATAAAAAATTTCTAAGAACTTTACTACTGGTGACATAATTCTGACCCTCAATATTCTGATGAATTAATGATGAAAATAATAGTGATTTTTTTTTTCATAGTGACTATGAGGGAGGCAGACTAGACTATAGGTAAGGAACTTCACTACAAGTGAAATTGGCAGTTTGAAGAGCATTTCATAATGCAATACTACTTCTGCTAGAAGCTTCTACTCTAATGATTCAGCTAATGCTCCTGCCTACAGTTCCTCCAGCGGAGTCCAAATAATAAGTAACCTTCACTTTGTGATCAAAGTTTGTGGGAGTCAAACCAGTTTTTTTGAACTTTGAAAAGCTCTCAGCTCACAGAACTACTAGGGGTGGGTTAGTGTGAATTGATGGACTCTAAGATTTTGCGATAGGAGAGTTATTTGAATGAAAATCTTGTACTTTGGGGGCACCTGGGTGGCTCAGTGGGTTGGGCCGCTGCCTTCGGCTCGGGTCATGATCTCAGGGTCCTGGGATCGAGTCCCGCATCGGGCTCTCTGCTCGGCAGGGAGCCTGCTTCCCTCTCTCTCTCTCTCTCTCTCTCTTTCTCTCTCTGCCTGCCTCTCTGTCTACTTGTGATCTCTCTCTGTCAAATAAATAAATAAAATCTTAAAAAAAAAAAAATCTTGTACTTTTTAGAAATCAGAAGCAGCACATATGGTAGTCTTAATCCTTGAAACTTTCCATACAATAACTTTGTTTCTTAGGGTCTTATCCTGTCTATTTGGATGAGGTTGACTCTTACCACAGTCTCCAACTTGTTTTTTGCCACCACAATTAGTTTCTCTTCCTCCAATAGCTTCCAGGCTGATTCTCAACAAAAAGTAAAAACAAAACTTACTGGAAAGGCAGGGTAACAAAGCAGACGAATCCATCTAAACAAGGCTGGAACACTCCAACATTTTACCTAGATGAGAATATCTTGCTATTACCTATCTCAATTTTGTGCATGAGAAATAAAGCTAAAAGAGGTCAAGCACCTTGCTCATAGAAAGTTAATAAATAGTGCAGTGAGACACAAACAAGCTCCAAGTCTGGTTTTGTGCAGTAGTGATATAATAATGGTAAGATTTAGCAAAAACAGAATTATTGTTAATTGACCCCAAGTATGCTTACCTCTGTACTGTAACTCAGAAATCTTTTCTGAGGGAATTGGCAGCTTTATCCTATGGAAAGGAAGTCAAAGCCAGATGCCCTCTGGGGAAAATTAATTCTTTGCTGTAGAATTGTGCTAGAGATAAAGCATTTATATCTCCTGGCAGCTGGCTAGTGTAAATAATAGATTGGTCTCCAGTATTGGTTACTGCAGACTGTGGCTCAGAATTCTATTTTTATCTATGGTCTAGCCATTGTCCCATTTGCATATTCAGTCCCTCATCTAGAATCCACTACAATCACACCTTCATTCTCATCATTCTCCTGAAACTGCTCTTGTCAAGGCTGCCAAAACCTTTTTGCTGAACCTAATGGTCAGCTCTTACCCTCATTTAATCTAATCATCAACATTTTACAGTTGATCCTTTCCTCTTCCTGGAAACATTTTCTTCACTTGGTGGGGGAAAAAATAAATTTTGAAATGAAATAAAAATAGCTAAAATTAAGAATTCAATGAAAGAGTTCAACAGGAGAGAAGTCACAGCTGAAGAGAAAATAGTAAAACAGAACATGAGGAAGAAGAAAAAATTCAAAATGTAGGGAAAGGAAAAAAATGGAATATTAAACACACAAACAAAAAATAGCAAATGGAGTGAGAAAGTGTATCTTATATTTCGGTTAGAGTCTTGGAAGTAGAAGACAGCGAGAAAACAAGGCAAAAGCAATATATTTGAAGAAGTAATATTTGAGAGTTTTCCAGGCAATATCAGGAATCAACAGATTCCAGAAGGCCAACCAATCCCATACTAGGTAAATAAAGCGACATCATTACTAGAGAAATCAGTCAAACTGCATAAGATAAAAACAAAGACAAAAATTGTAAAAACAAAACAAAAACAAAAACCCCAGAGAAACAGGAGAGATTACATTCAAATCAGTAGCAGTCAGACCACTAACTTCTGAAAAACAAAAATCAAATGCAAATTTTTTCAATATTCTGAGAGTAACTGCCTCCTCCACTTACGTACTTAAAGAAAGTCTTCAATAATTAAAGTAAAATAAAGGCACTTTCAGATTAAAAAACGCTAAAACAGCTCTTCCCAAGCAGACTAACAAAAGAAAATTCTAAATGATGTTTCTCAGGCAGAAGACAAATGATTCCATATGGAAAGACAGGCATGGAAAGATATAAAGAGAAAGGCAACCATAAATACATGGATAAATCTAAAATTGATTATATAAAAGTATATAAATTCTGGGGCTTAATACTCAAAGCTATAGCAAATAACAGCTGCGTATATGTGGGTGACACTAAATGGAATTAAAATATTCCAAGTCTCTACAGTGTCCAGGATGAGGGTAAATGCAGTAAATATGACTATGCTTGATAAACCAAGGGATAAAATTAATGAAAAAAGAAAAACTTAAGATTAAGACTAATTTTTAAATTAATCACTGAAAGAACAGAAGCAAAGTGAAATACAATGAAAAACATAGAAGGACAAATGGAAGTAAAGTATATAAACAATAAAAAAAGTTATAGTAGTTTAAAAGAGAACTAATTCAAAAAGAGAAAGAAATAAAAACATAGATCAAGGAGGAACATAGAAAAAAGATAGATTTAAAATTAATTATATCAACAATTATTAGAAAGACAAGCAGACCTAATTATTCAGTAAAAAATAAATACTGCTAGACTGGATTTAAAAATTAACTATATGCTGTATTCAAGGGACATAACAAAACCATAAAGTGATAGAAAGGTTGAAAACAACAGAAGAGAAAAGGAGCACTATTGAAAACATTAACCAAAAGATAGCTACATTAATAGACTTTAAGGCAAAAAGCATGACTTCAGTATATGTCTCTACTGGAATATAACCATCCATTTTTAATTGCCTTTTCTGCTAGTTGGTTATCATGGGTAATGATGTATAAATTAATCTCCAAGAGCCATTTTGTTAGACAAAAAGCTTTGATACTTTCTTCTTTACCCTTCAACTATAATGAACGAATAAATCTTTAAAGATACCTTATTTTTAAATTTGTGTGTGATTACTGTCATATTATAATTTAGGATGATTCCCTGGCCACAGCCTGCACTGAAGTCAGAACTTCTACCCTAGATGAATCCTAGGTTATTAAGTGCCTGGTGTCAAGGGAGATTGCCAGAAAGAACGGCAAGAAAGCACCCAGGCATGGGGCTGGATAGATGGTGGTGCCAGATTCCTTGCCTGCCTTGCCCAGCTTTCTGCTGCACTTTTGTCTCTGTCTCCCATAGTGTATCAAATGCTCATCAATGTGGCTCCTCTCATGCCAACTGCTTTCCTGATCACAGGGCCAACAGTGGGAAGTATTTGGTCCAGAACAGTCTTCCACTACCCCCACTGAACTTCCAACATTGTCCCCCAACCCTCACCCCTTAATTTTGTTTCCTCAGAACACCAAAACTGGTGATGGCCATTCCTCTGTCCTACTTCTTGGGGTATCCCCTAAATTATTGTGTTTCCTAAGTGTGTAGCAAAGAAACAGAGGTTGTATACTCTCCTGCACTTTCAGCCTTCTGGAGCTGGCATTTTGGACAGAGTAGAGATAAGGTGGACATGCTTCAGCTTTGGCAGTTATCACATTATCACTTGATGTAGTCGCATTTGTGAAGAGTGGCCATGTGATCAGTCAAATCAGTTAGAGAGTTCAGTCGTTAATTGAGTGGTTGACAATTAAAACTGACCGGCTTTTGATTGGCTTTAGAACTTCCTAGCACTTCTTCCACACTTCAATTTCTCTCTTGTTCTGAACAGTTTTCATTCTACATTTGCTATGCCCACCTAAGTCAGAAAGTCTGAATACTCCTCTATTTGTAAAGTACCTGCAGCTGTCTGATAGGCTTTTTCTGATAGAAAAGGCAAATACTTAGCATTCAAAAGAACTGACTTCTCAGACACTAGGTTCCTGAAGTTAACTTAATGTATGATTTTGACCATTCATGATAAAATGACCTGTACAGTGACCTATAGAGAGAAATTTTCTATTGGCCAAATTTCTCAACTTTCTGTTCCAACTTAATACATAGGTGGTCAAGAAAAGTTAATGGAATAGCAACCTAAAGGAGAGGATGTGACATTCTTTATGTTCCTCAAGTCTCCTTCCAGGGATATATATACACATACATGTATCATGACAACAGAAAATCAGAATCAGGATTGACAAAGAAGGGAAATCTTCTGGCCTTTATCCACAAGTAATTCCCAAAGAGAAAAACACACACTGAAGTTATTCTTCATATTCTAAGATACTTATCTGCTAGTAGGTGATGTCACGACATTAGAAGTTTTATACATGAGTATGGCAAGAATATCAGTTCCAAATGTTACATACATGTCCCCAGCAACATACAAGAACTTACTTTACACCCTAGAGGAATAGTTGTGCAACTCATGCCAAGCACTAATCCTTCCATGATCATAGCCCTGTCCTAGTCCCAAGGCTGCAAACCACTGTGCAGGCACACTCTTTAATCATTTTTATTTTCCAAACACTGCCCACTTTATTCTTTCTCTCCCTGTCCTCAACTGACTGCAGTGTTGCCCCTGCCTGTTGGATCTTTGCATAGACCAGTCTTGCCCTTGTAATAAAGTCTCAAGAAGAGGTAGTAAATGAAGTTACTGTGGTGGAGAAAAAAGAAAACAGTTACTTGTATGGGCCTGCAACCAAACCTGGGACAGTCAGGCGGGAGGTGAGATGCTTGCTACTGAAGCACCAGTATTCTTAGGTTAAGGTGTCCTTTGGCTTCTAACATATCCGATTACTTCATGAGGTTGCTTCTCTCACAACCCACAGCAGGCCCAAAGACTTCATCTACAGGGCTTCACAGAAATGGAGCTACCTGTCTATACAGGGACTTAGTGACCGCACAGATCCCAGCTATATTAAGCAGCCCCCTCTGGAGCCTGATCTGGGATGGAAGAGAACCTCAGGTGGGATTTGCTCCTTCGAAAGGGTACAAATTCTCAGCTGAAGAATCCAAAACTGTCCCTGTGTGGAAACTTCTGTGCTCCTAGGACACCTCTGAAGCTTGACTATGAAGAATTCCCATAACACCAAATTTCAAACTATGTTCTCCAAGGAGCTTCCTATTGGGCGTTTGGATAGCCTTTATCCCAGCTGTCAGGAAACTGACTTGGTGAAACTGAAAAATTAGTACCTCAGGTTTACCAGTACAGTGACTCATTTAGTTCTTGCTTCCGTATTACCAATCCTTTTCAGAGACTTGTACTTCTCCAATTTGTATATGTGTTTCAAGCCAACACAATCCCGAACCCACTAGCTCTATGAGTTATCCACTACAGTTCTTTCCCAATACCTTCTCTGGTTCCCATGACCATGGAAGGAAGGACTACTGTTGGTTAGCTACTGTGGTGGTGGACGAGGATTTAGGCAATAGGTATGTCCAGCTTTACACCATGGAATGATCAGTGAGAGTGCAATATGGCAAATGGATTGAAGTAGACTAGGCTGGCTGTAAGAGGACCAGTTTTTTTATCTACTTATATTAATGGAAGTAAGAGGTGATAGATGGAACAAAAGACCTATTAACATGAAAAAGACATATTAACATGAAATATGTTAATATTTCAACAATAAAGTATTTTTTTTTATTTTAAAGATTTTATTTATTGACAGACAGAGATCACAAG